TGTAATTAACAACCCATGTAAATAAGCCATGTTCACAGTATAACAATTGATATATCTTTAGGTTTGTTGTCTTATGTTTGGTACTCCAAGGTACATGTATACTCGCCTATAAGTCGGTTTTGGGGGAGTTAAACTTTGGTTCAAAACTCTTTATCCGACTTGTACGCGAGTAATAAAATGGTTGGTATTTTAGTGGGTCAATCCCCCTAATTGAAGCTTAAAAAATACAACTGACTTATAGGCGGACTAACTTATAGGCAAGTATATACGGTACAAAAGGTCTTTAGTGTACAGTTGATTCACATTATTAGTTTCATTGAGAGTCATTGAGAAGACTTTTATAGGCTTTCAAAGATGATGCTCAATCATCCTCTCTTCTTTAAACCAAATGTTTTGTTTATTTCTAATTGAAGTCTTGATTTGTATGAAACCCAAAAGGACTCAAAGTTAAGGTCCTTGAATTATGTGTAGTGCAAGGTATTCAACTTAATGCCTTCTATACTTGCAGAACAACAACATGCCACCTTCCCCAGTTCCATCACCACCGCTTGCACCTGCTTCTCCAAGTTTCTCTCATAATAGTCAAATTCAAACAGATGCACAGACATCATCTCTATATCAGCAGTTGCAGCGTCTCCATTTGGTTCAACCACAGAATTATCAGAGAGGAAGCCCTCCAACTTGTTTATTGGGACAGCGAACAGACTCGCCCCCTCAGTCTCTTCTTTTTCATTCCTTTACTCAGCCAATGCAGAGAGCAAGCACTCCTCCAAGTGGTACAAATTTTCAAAATTTACAGATGATACGGGAAGATTCCCAAGACACTACTAACAGTGATGAGGAGGTCAGTATGAATGCATCAATTTCCAAAGAACTTATGTCAGAACTTAGGCAGAGACAGTTTACAAACAAACCTCAGATAAGTATTACAGACACGCATGGTCATGTAACATCTGTTAATTCAGATGGTGATGAAACTGAAAACATGGAAGACAGTGACTTACAGACACCATGTATAAACTCAGGAAGTTACTCAACATTCCAGGATCAGCGCTCTAATTCTGTTCCGCAGGCATCTCCTCAGCAATACTGTCAACAAAAAGGGTTAGCAACTTTTAGTACAGTAGTGTACAACTCAAATCTTGCAAACATTCCCCCATATGTAAGTGGAAAAACTTTCTGTTGGGATATTTCTCAAAGTGAATTGCCATTTTCATCTTACAACTGGTCTAATGCTCAGATGGATTATCAAAAACATGGACATTATGGTGGATTGACTACAAATGCCATGGATCTAATGCAGTGTCAACAGAGATTTCAGAATGACAAAAATTCATCTGGAATGAAAGGACACCCCTCAGATTTACCTAATGGGGGTAAAGCTATTGATCTCTCAATATCAAACCAAAAAAGCAAGGGTAATGATAATCAGGTGAATATTCAGAAAGTAAACTCTAACATTAACCTGGCCTCTACACGCACTGTGGATGATATTCTTTGTGAACTTAAACGCATTCTGGAATTAGGTGATAAAGGAAAAGTTGTGCAGTTTTCTGATCACTTGTTTCGGTTAGAGAAATCAGATGTACAGATGGAATTAGAAGTTTGTCAAGGAGAGAGTTACAATGGCCTGCAGGTCAGGAGAATTTCCGGTGACAAGGGACATTACCGTCAACTTTGTCATGAATTACTTTCTGGAATTAATCTATGACACAAGTTTTATTTTGGATTTCTTCATTCAAGTATAGAATAAGATCTCTTGGCTTCTTATTACATCTCCTATAAATACCTCTCAGTGATTAAATATTTGGACTTCATGTGATTGATGATATGTAGTGCTACATTAGAAAGAATTGTACCTTTTTTCTCTTTAAAAGTAACACAGTTTCTTGTTCATGGTAATTGTGAAGCAGATCAGATAACATTCAGTTGTTAAGTTTGTAAAGCGTTTTGTTTCTTTGTTTTAATGTTTATAAAAGAATGTTGGCATGATGTATTACATGACTACATAAAATGTTTTTAAAAAGTGACTGTGTGCAAATTTCATGAATTTAAAAGAATTTTTACAGGAGATTAACGTATTTTAGATCTTGGTTGGTCAGTCCTTACGCCTTTGATATCACATTTCATTTTTGAAAACGAATGACTAAAGCTGTGCATTGAGAACCCCTGAGGTTGGAGACAAATTGAATAAGAACATGTTACATGTTAAAAAAAAAAAAAGAGCAGATCCATTTCTAAGAATGTTTGGGTCTGTCTGTTTTCACATTTGAAAACCAGATGATGATCCTAAACTTTTCTGATCAAAATGCCTCAATGTCTGTAAACCTTTCAATTTCCATCTTTTTAGTTCTATTAGTAATAGGTCACCGGGTGTCTGTCATCTGTCTGTTTGCCTGTCAAAAAAATTTTAAAACGCTATTAATTCTCGTACAGTTTTTTTTCCGAATTTCAGTATAACTTGGAACATAAGTAGATTTCATGTACGATGGTTTTCCCGTTAAAATTGTAGACTAAGCACCTAGAGTAAGAACGAAATATCGATTTCATACAAAGAATGTATTCACAAGAAGATGGGTGAACATGACGAGCGAAAAACCTATAGTGTGACAAACATGAATCTGAAAAATTAAATCTCAATTAAATTTAAAAATTTTCCTTGATATTTCATCTAACATTAAAATATACTTTATGTAAAATCTCTACAATTTGCAAAAATATCACAAAAGATTGAAATTATTTGATTATGAAAAATTGTACACACACTAAAGAGGGCAAAAAGAGTCATTTTCTCATACTACAAAACTATTTTTCGATATGAGTGGGTCTTCGCTCCGTTTTTTTGAAAGTTAATCCTCGAAGTTTGCATAAAAATATACATTTTTTGATTTCCTAAAATATGGAGCAAAGACCCACTATAACCTTAAAAATATACTTTTATGACATATCGTTCGCATCTTTTCGAGAAATACTTGAAGTCCATTAAGCCAAAGGTCATATCACAAACATGATTTAAATGCTCCTGTTCATCAGGACTTGTGTAGTCTAGTGGTTAGCGTGCTAGTCTTGAAAGAAAATGATGCTGAGAATTTTTATTGCTAGGGTTCGAATCCCACGAATACCACATTATTTTTTTTTAAATAAAAGAATAAATTTTGCCGAGAAAATTTTCCTCAGAAAAATTTTGTTTATCATAATTTCATATATTTCAATAATGAGAACTTTACTCTAAATACTGAAAATACTAATTAAACATGATTTTTATATATCTGGAGCTGTAGGCTTTCTGCACGCTGTGTTCGCCCATCTCTTTTCAAAAGAATTGACCGATAGAAGAAAATTTCCCAGAAAAATCACATTTAAAATTTAATGTTCATTAGTTCTTTTCTACCATATAATTTATGTCCAAAATTTTCAAATGAACCTAAAATTTATTATTTATTTTTTATTAGATTTATTAAAATTTATTATTTGCAACTTTAAAATTAACCTCTAAAGTTGGCCAAATCATTATTTTGTCCGTTAAAGAACCGATCTTTGCATGAATTATGGCCTAGAAGTCCTTCAGGGTAGGTTTGCCCCTAAATAAAATTATGATATTTTGATAGATTGTGGTGTAATGAATAATTTAAGATAGGATTTTTTTAAGGGCACCCCTGCCCATGGGTCTTAATTCACAAAAAACCTACAAAAAAATAAGGAAACCTGTTTTTGACAACCTGGTTCACATTGCCGTTTTTATAGCCATAATATAGCCAGAATAGCTCGATTGGTATAACAGCAAACTATTAACACAGTGGGCAAATCCACCTGGTGCCACACTTTTACAGTTTTAAATTCTCGCCTTTTCGAAGACATTTTAATTTTTATAGGGGCTTGTTTGTTTTCTTTCAATTATCTATCTTTAATGCATGTTCATTCTAAAAAGATAAATCGAAAATTCTCATTATCTCCCATGTCTCCCTCGCGCATTTGTCACAGTCTTGATTCTCTGCATAGAGTTCATCAGTGTGTTTATCCTTCCAATGGGGATATTATTCAACCCTTCCGACAAGGCAGCCCTTAGTTGAAAGAGACCAGATTGGACATTTCGAACCCTGTCGTCCACTTAGTCCCACAGATGTTCGATGAGGAAAAGATGGACTTTCCGTAGACCAGTCGAGTGGGCAAATGTGATTGTTTGCGAGAAAATCTTGACAAACTCTGGCTACATTAAGCTGGGAAAAAAATTAAGAAAAAAAATTAGGCAAACGACTCGTGCGAGTGAGAGGAACACCAGCGTAAAATTGACTAGCCTGGTTCCTTGTCCCTGTTTTGCTTCGTGTACTCCGCGTCATTAGGATGAGCCAGGGGACGAGGCTAAAACCAAAATAGCGCAATCGATTTCTTTCAGTTTTAGGGTGAATGTAACGATTATGATAGCCTATTGTATTATTAGCAGTTGTAGTTGTAGTGAGATGGTCATTATACAGGTGGCAGGATGACTAGCCCGATCTTGACGTGGCGCTGTTACTAGGTCACTAGCGAGGCAGTATAAGTTCTATATTCTGTCCGCTACACTTCCCCCCGTTCAGGGAACATTCGACCCGAAGCTTAACCATGGGTTCTCTCTGAGTGTCTGGACCTCTTCAGTAACGGTAACCAAATGCCGTCCATGAACATTAAGTCCGTACGTGGACACAAAGTCCTTCCCCTAGAGCTTCCTGAAGCAGGTCTTGAACCTCTTCAGTTACGACAACCACTGCCTCCACAGACACCAAGTCTGCAATGGACGCAAAGTCCAAGCTCTAGTTCTGAAGCAGGCCGCCAGACATCAGAGTCACTACGCTGCCACCAATTTTGTAATGTGAAGTGGTCAAGGCCTAAGTGGTCAAGGTTAAGCTATTGCTTAACTCAGAGGGAGACTCTACCGCATCACTAGAAAAGCTAGCTCACTAGCAAGGCAGTATAAGTTCCCTATATACTGTCCGCTACACATGTTTAAAATGAGAAGACACATGCGAAAATATTCACTTTTAATATATGATATGCAACCAATTTCTAACCAAGAAGATCGTGAACAAAATTGTGAAAAACAACACTGTCGATGTCACCGACTAACAATACATTTACTTTGCGGTAGTTCATTACAGTAAAAGTTTTGCTAGTTTAAAAACTAGCAATTAAAGACTACCTCATAAAAAGCCGTAGTATGCAATCGATGTTTTACAATGCAACACTCTCACCTTTTTAAGCAAGAGAATCGTTACTGACAGACGGTGAGTCGTGTTTTACATTTCATTAAAAAAAACCTAGTTAAAATATCTATATGATTGTTTTAACACGCAGAAATGGAATGTATTTTTCATTGAATCCGCTTCCTTTATTAGAGGGAGGTCCACCATCAAAATCTGAAAAACGTTTAATTAAAAAAAATGTTGAGGCTGAAACATTTTTTTAATATATATTTATCTCAACTATATTCAATGAAATTGTTTACTAAGTCTCACATCCGTCTGGATTTTATTTCTCTACATTTACATATATATGTTGAATAAGGAGGTTAACTATAAACATAAAACACGCATAATTCCGTAAAACTATTTAAGTCAAAACACGAAGTTTTAAGTTTGAAGACAACGTTTTCAAGTAATGATATACATGTATCACTGCACTCACATGCAACTGAAAATGATCCACATGGAGGCGGTATGTATCTTTTTCTTGAAAATTCCATTCCTTGTAGACTGGAAATACACACTCTATCTGGCATTGTAGATTCCCGATGAAGTCTCATTTCTTTATATGGAAATTCAGGGAGAGAATGTCCATCCTCCGGGTCGTAAAACACTCCGGCCTCTAACAATAAATCAAAGTACTGAAAGTACTCACACATTACTGCCTCTGTCCTAGCATTATTTTACTGAGGGAGTTTATAGAACACGCTGGCCTCTAATATAATATAAAATAGGATCAGATCACCTATTACTGCCTTTGTCCTAGCATTATTTTACTGAGGGAGTTCGTTGAACACTCCATTATTAGTCCCCTACCGGTGAAACCGGAGGGGACTATAGGTTTCCTCTGAGTCTGTCCGTCCGTCTGTCTGTCCCTCTGTCTGTCTGTCAGTCTGTCCCACTTGGTTTTCCGCACTTATTTCCTAAACGCTTGCAGATATTGAGCTGATTTTTGGTATGTGAGTGTATCTTGATGAGTTACAGATCAAGTTTGCATTTCTTTCTGCTTCATTGATTTTTGACGGAAAAACGACCTTTTCAATTTTTAAGGGTTTTCCGCGATATTTTTCTAAACGCTTGCAGATATTGAGCTGATTTTTGTTATGTGACTTAACCTTGATTACTTATAGATCAAGATTGCCTTTCGTTCCGCTTCAATGATTTTTAACGGAATTATGGCATTTTCAAATTTTAACGGGAACCAGATTACACTTGCCAGTAGGGGACTAGTATTGCTAATGCAGTACTCTCAGAATGCTTGTTTCATTGAGGGAATTAGCAAGATTCTTGTTTATCAAGTTGACCAAAGGGAACCAAAATATTGCACATTGGGAATGGTATCTTTTAACTGTTTTATAATATTTTTTTTCATTTTTATTATGTTTTGATTTTTCATTCCTAAAAAATTCTCTTTATTTCATGGAAAATAATCGCAAACTGATTACCTTATAGTACCCCCCCCCCCCCCAAATAAAACTAAAGCATCCTCTCTGAAAGATTTTGTGTACGGAATTTTTACCCCTCAATACTGGTATTAATTTCAAATTGATCTACAAGGGCCTTCTACATTGCTGCAATTTAACTTAGAGGACAAACATTGTATTGTCCTAAGAAAAAATATGGTTGGAGAAATGAACACAGCGGTTGTAAAGCAAAAGTAACAAATACACTGAAATGTTGGGGCTTATTTCAAAATTGTCGATAGAAATGGGGTGGAAATCAACAACCTTATGATAGATAGTTGTCTCACTCCTACGCAGGCAGCCCCCTCAATGGCGATCAATGTACTCTTAACGCATTTTTTTCATATAATTTGATTATGCACTGGTGGTTCTTGATCGACATTTTTAACTCCCAAGAAAAAAGTAAATCATCTAAAACTGCATAATTCTTACCATCAAAACAAGGTGGCGCCTTCTTCTTCCGTAGCAGGTACTTGTGTGGGTGGGGTGCAGAGGGAATGTTTGTCTACAAAAAAAATGCCCATTTTATTAAATGACTACCAGTATTACACAGTTCTATGCAATATTTTAAATATTTTCTCGGTACAAAATAAGTAGAAACTCACAGTTTCGCATATTGGGAGTAGCATCTCCTCTCTGACATTACAAGAATCAGCAGGTTGATCAAAAGGAACTTCACAAAGCAAAAAAGACAATGATATTTGAGTTTAATATTGATTATAATAGTTTTACAGTTTTATATATCTAAATCTCAAAAATTATTTTGAATAAGAGTAAGGCTATGCGCGGATCTAGAGGGGGGTCCGGACCCCCCCCCCCCCCCCGGAATTTGCAGAGTTATTAAAAGATTATACTGTAGCAAATACAAAATGACTTCGGACCCTATCCCCCTAGAAAACGTGGATCCCACCATCACCACCACGAAATAGGTGAAACATGTTTCGGATATTGGCCTGAAGACCATGTAGATACCGGCTTTCTATATATAAACTGTAATTATTTCTAAATATTTAAATTCTTAAAAAAGGATTGTTGAAGAAACAATTGTGGAAAGAGCTACAAAATAGCTTAGCTGTCTTAAACTTTGCATTGGACATTGGCCTTTGATTGCAAAGATATGCAAAAAACCTCACACACCAATGCCGTGCGCCATTGTTTCTTTGTCTTTTGACTTTATAGGAGGTTGTCTGTCCGCGGACGGAGACTTCAGCTTGTACGACGACTTGTAAGTGGTTTTCCCGCCGTCTTCATTAACATCCATTTTATCTTCCACCCAGGTATGCACCTTGCAAACAGGCTGTATGTAACAAGAATCCACATTTTATACATCAGTTTTCCACACAAACGTATGAACTAGTATATAATCATAAAAGAAAATGCAGTTTCCAAATTTCCAAAGGAAACCCTTTTTTTCTTTTTCTTTTATGATTACTTTTACTGTGTGACATCATCTTTTGACAATTAGTATAAATATATATATATATATATATATATATATATATATATATATATATATATATATATATATATATATATATATATATATATATATATATATATATATATATATAACATAGCATAAAACCTATGTGAAAAATTACTTTACTAATGTAATTGACATGCGTGATTGTCAACAATAACCGGGGATAAACAATGTCACTAGAAATTTGAAATAATCCACTATTCGGGGGAAAAATTGAATCAAATTTTCCTGTGAATATGCATATCTGCACAGTATGTCCCTTATTAACTACAAAGTTTCATGAAATTCTGTTCAGCGGATTAAGAGGAGTTGTGCTGACAAGAAAGGACTGACTAAGGCCAAACTCCTTAGTTCAAAGGCGTTCGCTTCATGATCGGGGGGCCGGGTTCGATTCTCATTCGCCGCGCCGCGTCAAACCGAAAACGTAAACATAGGAAGTGACTGTTCCTTCGCCAAGCCCCGGCATTAGGGAAGGTTAGGGGTCTTTCGGACGAGACTTAAAACTGAGGGTCGCCCGCGTGGCGCAGTGGTTAGAGCGTCTGCTCTAGAGTTGCGAAGTAAGGAGTTGATCCTTACGTCGCGGGTTCGAATCCCACTGTGGGACGTGGAGACCGGTCCTTCGGATGAGACCGTATAAACCGAGGTCTCGTGTCGCAGTAGGTGCTGGCACGAAAAAGATCCCTCACTGCTCAATGGCCGTAAGTGCCGAGTATAGGACAAATTTTGCAGCTCTCCACCGGCAAGTGGTGGCGTCTCCGTATGAGTGAAAAATTCTCGAGAGGGACGTTAAACAACATACAAACAAACAAACAAACTTAAAACTGAGGCACCGTGTCACGATAAAGAACCCTCACTGTTCAATGGCCCTGAGTGCCGAGTATAAGTCTAAATCTGAAGCCCTTCACCGGCATACCGTGATGTCTCTGTATGAGTGAAAAAATCCCGAAAGAGACGTTAAACAACACAAAATAAATCAATCAATCAAAAGAAAAAAAAATGAATCAAAATTTTCCTTTACACATTATGTCCTTATTAACTACGAAGTTTTACAAAATTCTTTTGGCGGTTTCAGCGATTTGCGCCGACAAGAACATTTTTAACAGGACTGACTGACTGACGGATGGACTGACTGATGTACGGATCAAAACATTAAACCCCCGCAATTCGTTTCGTCAGGTATACAAAGAGACTTTTAGAAGATGTCTTAGTGATATACGAGTACTAGTATAGGAAAATATAGGAGAATTCCTTATCTGTGATTACAAAGTAAGCTTTCTTACCTACACTGATTCTTACCTACACACCTGTGATTACAGTTAAGTAAGCTTTCTTACCTATACTGACCTGTGATTACAGTTAAGTAAGCTTTCTTACCTATACTGACGTGTGATTACAGTTAAGTAAGCTTTCTTACCTTTACTGACCTGTGATTACAGTTCAGTAAGCTTTCTTACCTACACTGACCTGTGATTACAGTTCAGTAAGTTTTCTTACCTACACTGACCAGTGATTACAGTTAAGGAAGCTTTCTTACCTACACTGGCCTGTGATTACAGTTAAGTAAGCTTTCTATCAAATATGGTTTAGTAAGCTTTCTTACGTACACCGACCTGTGTACATGTATGTGATTACAGTTCAGTACCTTAGCGTTTATTCTGTGTATATGAAATATCTGTTTAGATTGAGGATTGTGTTTCCTGGGGTCCAGAGTTGTGACTAAAAATGGCGGTCTTTCGACAGGCCGTTGCGACATGTCTAAAACTTTGAAGCGAAAACGATTCTCCGTGTTCCATGTTGAAATTTTTGAACACTTCTTTCTGTAAAACAATCAAATACAATAAGAAGAGTTACAATTATCCATTCACAAATTGTTAATATCAATATTTTTCCACACAAGTGTTTCTTTAGTAATACATGAAAGGGCGTTGCTTATATTTCAAACTACAGACCTTGGATTTTATTTGGAAGAATGCACAATTTTCACCTTGGGGGCGATTGGGGGTCAAAAGGCGACGTTATTTCTACAAGAACCTGGTTCCCTATTGAACCTTTGAGAGAAACACTTTCACAGTCGACGACTTTGACATTTAAGTTTGTGACCTGCTTAATGTACGGAGCTACGGAATTGACAATAGAAAAGAAAACCTTAATAGTGATTATAGGTGGGGTGTAAGGGGCACTAACATAATTTACCGGTATGCAATCGACGCAAGAGATGATTGGAGGCAGAATTACATGACTTAATTTACCTTATTCGAGAAGGATAGTATCCTTTCTGATTTTCTGAAGGAATCAAATAAAGAAGGAAAAACATTCCGGAAGGAAATCTAAGTAAGAGTTGGTCATTGTGGGAAGGGAGGGGGTTGTGGGTAGGTGGTGGCCGTTCCCTTCCTAGACAATGTAACATGTGCTTTGAAATGGACCATTATATGATACCACATGTTGAAAATGAATTGTATGAACTCAATATGTACATCTTTAAAGTCAAAATTTCATTAGTGTTTAAAGTCTCCTTAATATTAAACTTTCTCTCTCACGACCCGAGTAAAACTGGTTACAAAATATGCACTCATCAAAAACAATATGTGCCGACATTTTTACATTTGCAGGGTGAAAGAAGGCTCGTCTCGGCCACAGGTACTTGTGCACAAGCCAACCACCACCATATAAAACCAGGGCTTGTTGAACTTTTTAGAGTGAGAAAAGCATTTTTTTACAATAGTAATGTAGAAGGATCGACATTCATATTTTCCTTTAATTTATATTCTATCCCTTTAAAACAGTAATCACTTAAATGGGTCTGGACACAGTTGCATTGTTTATAATTTTAGATGTCTATATTTATTCAAAAAATAACTTCAGTTTATTGATTTTAACTTACATGAATATTCTAAGAATTCAATGACTACGACATTTTCTTAATATCACATCAAACACCTGTGTTTGTAAACAGGGCACGAGCTCTGTTATTGTTAGTGTTTACTTTTTACCGGGTGTGTTCAGTTTGTTTAGTCTGCACACATTACTGAGCACGGACTGGCGATACTGGTGAGTTGTTTTTGCTTTCTTGCATTTCTACTCTGGACTTTCTGGATTATAGTTTTCATATTTTTCATTAATGCACAACAAAATTTCAACTTTTCTTAAGTATTATGGATAAAGTTTACTTTGTGAAAGTGCAAAGATATGTGTCAATCAAACGCGTCTCAAAATTTGTAGATTTAATAATTTCCAGATAAAAGAAGTTTTCAAACACGATTTTAATATGTTTCGGTGTGATATGCTCTAGCAACATATAAGTCATGATATTATTTAGAAAATTTTAGAAAATATGAGCGTCGAATCTGCGTCCCAGTCCCTTTAAAATAAATCAAAAGAACGTACAATATACAATTGCAAGTACTTAATAACTATGGAATCTAATATTAAAACAAATTTGATATGACCTTTAGTGCGAAACCGTTACCTGCCATGCACCTTGATTTTTTTAAAACACAATATTGGGATGGAACATGTACTTTTTTCATTCTGTAAGGTATGGGACCAAGAATATTTTGTTAAATATTTATTATTGTTATTAATTTTTTTTAAACTGGTCTCACCTTGCAGAAAAATATTTTGTAGTCACATAATAGACTTATTTATAGTGAATAACATTAGAAAAATCTTTGAAGAAACAAAAACAATCGTTCAATACAATACAAGCTCTTCTGGATCACATCTCGTCTTGAATTAAATTATAAGAATTTGAACTGTCATAAATTTAAGCTGGCGATACATTACCGAAAATATCGTGGTTTTCCTGATACTGGCAACAAGCAGGGATCTTTATGCCAGTATTCCATGTTAATACAGGATCGAATCTAAATACTGTCCATTTTTCTAAGTTGATTAAATTTATGAAGTAAAATCTTATACTTTTCTTTTTACATCAACTCTCCCTAGAAGCTCACATTACTTGTAGAGAATGGAATCGGCCAGTCGGGAATTTGAAATCAAATATGTTAACGAGTATGTTGTAATATAAGAAAAAGTTAGTAAAAGGCTATCAACCATTCAATGGAACAATATACATGTGTGCTTTTCCCTAGATTTTAGGTTGATACTTTAAATTTACACAACCTAAACTTCTAGTTTCAAAGTTATCTTTGTAAGGTAGAGCTCAGCAAATAGCTTTCTTTGTTGGTGTGTACACAAATAATTTGTCAAATAGAGTTGACAAGATTTTTTTTCTAATTTCACAATCAAAGAAATGTGTTGGTCTTATCACAATGAGAAAACAATGATATTGTTAGAATTATTTTTCATTGATAGGCACGCATTGTTTGATATCGGGTTGTATGTATACGTGCTAATCAGAGCTATAAATACAATTTGTACAGTTATTGACATGAACGTGAAATGAACAAAGGAGAGAGGGAAAGAACGGATCATCGGTATTAAAAAAAAATATAGTAAATGAAAAAGCCAGCGCAGTCAATTTCTCAAGGGAAATTAATAATGGAGAAATTCACAAATGTGTCATTTTCACACTGTGGAAATATATGTTATTTTCACACTGTGAAAATATGTTATTTTCACACTATAAAAATATACGTTAATTATTTTCACACTGTGTGAAAATAACAACCGAAACTATTTATCCAATAACGTCAAAAGGAAAATTTAAGGAAATGCAATAAACAAAAAATTCAATGATTTGTTGTTTGATATTTAAAAAAAAATCGTCTCCCACTTGTGAAATAAATTCCATATCCAAATACAAACAATAAATTACCTCTTAAAATTCTTTTTGAAATGAAACAACGCATAAAATGAACTATTCGGGGAATATATGTATTACCCAAACTACAGATGCTTGAGTTTACTGATGGAAAAGCGTTACCTCTAACAGTTAAAAGTAAAATATATTGCGCAGTGCAGATGGGTATATCTTGTTTAAGAAATAATATCAAAGAGTGTAAAATGTGCTTTCCTTGTTCATAAAATATGGCTGACTAAGAAAATAAACATACTTCTCATGCTTGTCGCTATTCGTTCCTAGATTCAAACATGGCAACCTCTCCTCTTTGTTTTTCTTTTTGAGTTTTTTCGCCAATTCTGTAGAAGCAGTTATAAGTTCATCAACCCTAGAAAAATATAAGCACTAATCAGTTCATTATTTTTCAATGTCCTACACACATTTATGTGTAATGGTTCATAATCTACCTGTGTATTCAACTAAATAAAACCATGAATTCATATCACCCAAGCCTGTCTTACATGTTTTTATTTCTTATGTATCAGCTGGGCTAGTTCTTATTTATATACAGGGAGAATTAATCATATACATGTAGCTTTTATTCCATAGATCTCCTATTTCTCATGGTAAAATGAAGTGTATGTACATGTCAAAGAGCAAGAAATTTTGAAAGGTTTAAGAAACTTTTTTTTTTAATTCAACAAGCCACCAGTTGTGACTAGTCTTCAGAGATCGGATTCTTTTTTGAGACGATTTTGATTTTTCTCAAAGTAAAATAATTTACTTACTTCTGTATTTTAATATATTAGTATTTTCGTTTTCTTAAATAAAGCAAAAAATACTGGTAGACGACATAATTACGTAAATGATTAATTATTCCCTAAAACACAACTAAAAAAAATATCCCAGAAAGACTGGTTCCAATTAGTAAGGAGCATAAAGTGGCAGATTTAGGGGAGGGACACATCCCCCCCCCCATTTTTTTTTAAACTGTCACAAAATACGATTAATGTACAAATAAAGTTTTATTTAAATCGTATACATTCTCATTTTAAAGGAAGCATTAACATTAAAACCCGTCAAAACAAATGATATCAATTACCCCCCCCCTTTTTTTTTTTGCATGTAAACGTGTGTTCTTTTCCTCTACCAAACTTTTCACAATAGTTGACGTACGGCCGGAGTGCTGTTTCGCAAGTGATTTCTTTCAAAAGCGAATTTTGAGTTCAAATGTTGACTGAGAAGAATGTGTGACGTAGAAACAGGAAAATAAGTATGGTCATTGGACATTTCACCAAAGAAAGATACTAACCGATATTCGAACGAAATTTCCTTGAAGTTTTGAAAGATATTGCATGGATCGCTCTAGTTCCTCTTTGACTGACTTTCAAACAAAATGTACTTGTGTAATACAGATATGATGGAAATCTGTCCTATTGAGATTAATACATATAGTAATACAGCAGACTGCATACTATACGTGTTAGGTGTAGAAACATGTTTCTTATTTGCAAAATTGAAAACCGGACATAAATTCTACATGATCGTTCCCCTTGACCATGACCTTTCACAAAACACAACGGTTTATTACAATTCTCTAATAAGAGACAACTCTATCCGGGATAAAAGCCAATTATTCGTTTATTTCAGTCTATCAAATTTTGCCCCGTAAGGTTTGCTGATATTTTGAAAAAAAAAATTAGAGTTATAAATTAGATTTCATTTTGAAATTTATTAGCATGAAAGCAAACTTTTACTTGAGTGATCAAAGCGTTGATTAACCTTAAAAATTAAAGCCACTTTAGGCATAAATATCGACTAGATTTCAAAGATTGTAAAGACAAATATGACCAGCCTTGGTTGAACCAGAATCGACAATGCTAGTACGTATTATGAGCCTTTATATAGACTTGGATGATGAATATAACTCAAATATTGATAGTTCTACTTCTACATTAGCACCAAAACTAACAAAAATTTAAGTGAAGCAGGTCTTAAAATTGTGAAATTTAGCGGAGGAAGCGATAAACATGTAGACGTACAAAACATATCAAACCTAAGAAGGAATGGATGTCAAATAACTTCTTAGTGTTGAGAAGGGAGGTTAAAAATCTTGGTAAAAAAAAATTTAAAATCTGACACCAAATAATTATTTACTTCAAGCATTTTCTAAAAAGCAAATCAAAAAATGTGTAATGCAATTAAAATCTTATTAATGAACTCAACCCTGATTGCACACACACACACACACACACACACACACACACACACACTAGAATTTTCATACCCCTAGATTTTCATTTATGCCTAAAGAAGTGCAAGTAGGAATATCAAACTTGAAAATCTGGAAAATGCTCTGGTTTGGACCTTATTCCAAATGAATTTATTAAAATAAGTGCTGGTGTCTATCTAGTAGATAAATTTTTTATTAAAATTTTTCAGACTAGCAGAATGCCAGAATTATGGAACCTCTCAATAATTACAACTTTGTATAAATCTGTTGATTCAGAAAATTGCAATAATTATAGAGGATTAAGTGTAACACGTGGTTTTTCTTGGTAAACTTTGCAACAGACTTCTCCAAACCCGTCTTAATAATTATTTAGAATTTGAAGGATTGTTAAGTCACTTTCAGGCAGGATTATATAATGTGCTCTAGTGCCAAGAAAGAATTGAATTGAACAGATGACACAGGCGGATCCAGGAATTTTGGGAAGGGGCGTGATTTTTTTCCAAGGCAGGGGTTCTGGGACCGCATGCACCTTCTAAATCCGCCAGTGGATGAGTATGTTTATTTTACAAGATCAGAAATAATGTTGAAAGTGAAGATAGATAATGGTGTATTTTTATCCAAACATATGCATGCAATTTCGTGTAATAATATTGTTAAAATCTATTTCCATGATACTTTAAAGCAAATTAAAGGAATCTCTCTGTCTGTTTGCCTGTCTGTCTGTCTATCTATCTCTCTCTCTCTAATGAAACTCAATCGCACAGTAAATATACAGTAAGAAGGCGCTACTGATGATTTAGTATATCATTAGGACTGTCTTCGTATTGGCTGAAGGGGGCGAAGTCGGCACCTGAGTGACAGTGAGAGGGAAAAAAATAAGAGAATACTTGCCGTTTTGATCGCTGTATTTCTGGAATGCTGACCATATTGAAATATTCGATCAACAACTATGTATCTTCTCACGGGGAACAGAGATCACATCCATTAGGGAAAAAAATCGTAGTTATGGCATTAAAAAGTCACTTTAACATTTCAGTCTAGCAGTAGTTACGGGTTTATTGTTCTCCTTTAGGTGTTCTGAATGTAACGTCTCAATCCTGTTAAATATCAGGACCCAAGAGGTCAAATGTGGGTAATTAAACATGTGCAGTTCTCGCTTAAGTATTATTTAATACTCCTACCATTTCTCTTAATCACAGCGAATTAAATTGTAATTGTTCTATTTCGTTATACGTGTACGTTGTACAATGAATTAAATCTCTACAAGATACTCGAAAATTTTGACACCGTGTTCCTATATTTTGAATGAAATCTAATGGAGAGACTGGATTGTATTTTTATTAACAAAATAATTTGTTTATATGAATTTCAAAGTACTGTAGTGTTTCATAAATGAATAAGACAGTTTATATCAGTTAATTAATTTACTCATCGCACGAGCACGCACGTGTATGAACGTGCGCGCAAGATGGCATTTGTTCCGCAAATCTACACAACATGCTTTTTAACTCTAAAAAGGTTTCTCCTCATCGGATGAGTAGGTTAGAACATACACGGCCCATAAACAATAATAAAACGACAGTCAACATACAGCATCTTATGGCTTGTAATGTCAAACTAACAGAAAGCGCAATAGCTAAGAGAGACTTACCATTTGTGTGAAGAGTATGGATAACAAGTTGGATGTAAGTCATAATCCCTGTGGGTTCTTTCTAACATTATTCACATTGACTTTATGTGTATCCAACGCAATGTATTTTTAGCGTCGTCAACGCTGCGTTTTCAATTATGACGTCACAATGATGGACAGCAACAATGGACGTTGGCACGATTATTCTACGTTATTATCATCTTAATAAAGTATACTGGGGTATCTTGTTCTACATTATATTGTGAATTGCACGTTCCAAAGATTTCGGATAGATCATGAAAGGTAACTTTATCGATATAAATAAGTATCAAGTGAACAAATATTAACTGTTTAAATGAATTGAAGGAATTTATGATAAGATAACGTACTTTTGTGAAACAAGAAGTAAACAAACGCTTCCTTTATCATCAAGATATGAAATCGTACTTGGTCCTGTCTTTATAGTTGTGTGTGTCAGACAAATCAATAGAAGAAAATCCGTACTTTATTCAAGAACTAATTCTGATTATTACGCAGCACATAGAATTAAGCCAGACTTGTATAGATTTATCTAGCGTTTTGCACAACACGGGAAAAAAAAAACCCTCCTAGGTGATTTGGCTTTGTTTGTATTTAGAAGTTATTTTAGATTCAACGATTTTATCATTAATATGTATAAAATGGCATAAAACAATACTTTTTATCGTACAATAAAATCATTATGTAGTAATAAAGAATGGGAAATACACGAGTGATCTGATACAAACTTTTAGTCATGCTATTCTTGTAATTTTCTTCGTCTGAAAGGTACCTAAAACAACTTAGTGAGCATGTTGCTTGTTGAAAATACAGCAAATCATAAATATTATCATATTATACAGGCGCGGATCCAGAATTTTTTTTCCAAAGGGGGTCTACACCCCAGTCGAAAAAATTCCAACCCAGAAATTTCTTGACAAGCCAAAATAAAAAGTATCAAACCCAGAAAAATTCCTGACAAGCAAAAAAAAAATTATTTGTTTCAGTATATACTTTAAATAACTGCAAATTACAGGGGGGAGGGGGGGGGGGTCCGGACCCACCTCTAGATCCGCGCATGTGATACTTGTTTTATGCAGCATGGAGTGTCAGAAAATTCAGTAAGAAATGTTAACCGCATAGTCAAGTAGTCAATTCCTCAGACTTTATAGCAAGTGGATTTCCTGAATTATCACAAGCAGTCGCATCAGGGCTAGCTTAAAGCGACTTTTTCTCTCTAAAAATTCGCTCTATCGTTTTTCTGCCAAAAATAAGAGAACACCGATCTTTCAACTGGCTTCATAATTTCATAAATATTATGAATTCTGTGGAAGATTACTCCAGACGATGGGCCAATCATGAAAAGAAGACTTGACACTGTCAGAATGGATTAAAAGTATCAGATGGATGTTGAAATCTCGCAATAAACGATTGAGGGGCAATATGAAAATCATCTATCCTTCAGGCTTCAATAATTCAGAAGTGAAAAAAGAATTAGATTACACGATCAGTATGTACTGGTTCCAGCTGACAAGGCAGGTAACAACATTGTCTTTGTTTGTAAGGCTCACTATTTTAATTGCATTTTAGAGGAACTGGAATTTAATTCTGCAAGTGGTAATTTAACTTGTACCCATAGCTCCCTTTCTAAGGAGGAAAGTGAACTTGAAATAAAAGATACCACAGTCTGACACATCTGTTTCACATTTGGATATTTTACTAGAAAAAGACGCTTTTTGTAACCTAACAACAAAACTTTATGATAAACGTGATGACTTCAACTTTTCTATCGTCAACTTTCCTTACTCTTGTAGCAATATAACCACAGCATAACATAATAAAACACCACCTTCACATGAAATAAACATAGCATAATATAAAAAAGCACCATATTCTCATGAAATAACCACATAAGGCAGCTATGGCGTTCCATAATCTTCACATGAAATAAACACAGCATAATATAAAAAAAGCACCATATTCTCATGAAATAACAACATAAGGCAGCTATGGCGTTCCATAATCTTCACATGAAATAAACACAGCATAATATAAAAAAGCACCATATTCTCATGAAATAACCACATAAGGCAGTTATGGCTTTCCATAATCTTCATATGAAATAACCACAGCATGATATAAAAAAAGCACCATATTCTCATGAAATAACCACATAAGGCAGCTATGGCTTTCCATAATCTTCACATGAAATAACCACAGCATGATATAAAAAAAGCACCATATTCTCAAAAAATAACCATAATAATATTAAACTAGAGTGTTCCAAGGAACGAATGTGTCGCCTGCTTTTTAGCTTCATTAAAGATGTAAATAAATCTAAGAGTGGTCAGCTTAATTCTTATTTACTATTAGCATGGCAGTTCGTGCATTTGCCTGCAAAGGAAAAAACCAGAAGTCTCTGACGAGACTGTAGCTCTACTGGTTGTACTTATAAAGGAAGATAAAAATAGCACTTGGACTTGCAACTTTTCAACAGCAATAAATAGAATAATGATCCTTGGTTTAGTCTCTTTTTGTGGCAAAATTATTGCAATCAGACTAAAACTGTAAAAGGAGTAGCCTTTTAAAACAATTTTACAGAAATTTCAATTTAAGTAACCATGGCAACATCATTCAACAAAATAAAAAAAACAATAACATCAATTATGTATCTCAGTGTAGTCTACTTGTATGCCATGTTATATTGAAATCAGACAAAAAGTGTAGGAGGAGTAGTGTTTTAAAAGTATTTCAAGAAAATTTCTATTTTTAGTAACCATGGCAACACTGTTCATCGAAATCCAAAACTGGTATAGAGAATTATGTATCTTAGTGTAGTCTACTTGTGTGCTAAGTTATACTAAAATCAGACCTAAACTGTAGGAGGAGTAGCATTTTGAAATTTTTTTCACAGAAATTTCTATTTTTAGTAACCATGGCAACACCGTTCATTGAAATCAAAAACCGTAGAATTATGTATTTTAGTGTAGTCTACTTATGTGCAAAGTCGTATTGAAATCAGACCAAAACTGTAGGAGGAGTAGTGTTTTGAAAAATTGATTACTGACAGACAGACAGCTAGACGAACGGACACCTTACTATCGCATAAGCTCTACTGGTCTTTGACCAGTAGAGCTAAAAAGCATCCATGGATAGTATAAGCTGGGAGAGAATCAGACAATCAAATAAAATATGGTTCCCTAACCCTCAAAAGAATAATTTAAGTGAATTTTTTTAGAATTTAATTCCTACGTTGTTTCCAACAATCTTCCAAGAGAGAGTTCAGTCTGTCTTTACTGCAGATTGTTAGCTGCAGAACTGTAGCTCTCTGAAAAAAAAAAAAATATTGACATACCGCAGAGGTACAGTGCCACCCATAGGAAAAATTGTATATTTATCGCGCATAAAAAATTGCGCTCGATTCTGGATTTATTTCTCTGTATATCTAAACTGCCATCTCAAAATATTACTAACCGGCTGTTCCTAACATATTCTTTTACTATTTCCACAACAAAACATTTCCCAGAATTGTTGGCAATAGCCTTACTGGACCTGAAATGAAGACCACAGAAAATTTCGCCTATTTATTCTGCCATTTTGGGTGGCAGGACAATTCGGTCCCCTGCGCTTCGTGCAGATGTAAACTACGAGAGTGTCTAAGGAATTTCTTGAAATCGAGCTTTCGTGCAGTTGAGGTAAGAATTTGAAGAAATAAAATGAGAATCAAACGCAATTTTTTGTGCGCAGTAAATATAGTTTTCTCTGTGGGTGGCACTGTAGCTCTCCGGTCTGTCAATATTTTTTTTTTCCGGAGAGCTACAGTTCTGCAGCTAAACAATTTGCTAGCTGCAGAACTGTAGCTCTCCGACATACCACAGACAAATTGTTATGTCTACAGTGTGGACTCTACGCTATCTGTTTTGGAATACCGATCCCGATGTATATCATAGTACATGTATTTAGATATAAGTTTGTGTGGTAACTGAATATCACACAGTTTCAAAGTACTAAATCATAAGCTCAACATGTTTCCAACAATCCTCCAAAAGATATTTCAGTCTGTCTTTACTGCAATTCAGTCTACACAATCCATTGTGCAATACCGATCCCGATGTATTTTCATAGTATTTAAATATGTAATATGTTGACGGTGTGATCGTTGGGGCGAGCGCATTGTTCACTTGCTCTTTTGAAGGGCAAAATGATATAGTTTGGTGAAATATGACTTGAAAGTAATTGTTAATTATACGTCATTTGATTATCTGTCAACAAAAACTTCGCCAAGCATTATTATTTTGCCCAGCAAAAGAGTAGTACCGCAGTTACTGTGAAGCGGCTAATTTTAAGATCCGCCTCTTCAAACCGCACGGGACAGACTGTAACGTCACATGACGTCGTATGTTAGCTGCTTTTCCATAAACAAAGTTTGAAAAGTGCAAAAAATTTAACAAAGAACGTTTAATCTACTATCTGTATGCAATATCCATTAAATTAAGGCGAGTTTATTTTTTGTGATTTTTTAGTTGTTGTCACCTCCGAACCAAGTTAGCAGCGAGAACAACAAGTGATGCATTGTGGGTCCAGAATTACTGCGGAAAAAATTCTATTGAATGAATGTGTGCAGTAATCCGAATTTCTCTTCGCCAAGGCATTGTCGTTAGAGCTCGCAGTGATGAGTGGCACTTTGCGTTGCTCGCTGCGCTTGCTATAAATGCTAAGTATCAAAATCCTGCCTCTCAAATTTCAAAAGTCACAAGTTAAACTTCATGGGGGTAATTTTTGCAAAGTAGGTCAAAGGTCAAGTGGATTGTAATGCTGGTATTTTTCATATTGCCTTATAACAAACAGTGCACATGCTAAATAGCATAGACTCACCGCTTAAATGTCAAAAATATGCTGTATATCGGCACTATGAAATATTTTGAAATGTAGGTCCAAGGACAAGGGTCACAAGGTTGGTAACCATGGTAATTTACAAAAGCCACAGTGCCAAGCAATATATTTGCAAAATATCAAATCCATACCTTTTATAGTTCTAGAGATATAGGGTGTGACAGACATACAGACAGATGCCGGGTAATGTGATCCCTAAGTGCAGCTTTGCATGTGACACAAAAAATTTGCTATACACATTCAAGGCTCTGCATGAGTTCATAAAAATCAATTTTGAAAATATGGACATGCAAAATGAAATGCCTGGAAAAAAATTTTGAAAATCCAAATTCACAAGTGTGCATGTGTGTGTGTTGTGGAGAGGGTCATTAATTAAAAAGTAAAAAATTTCCTTTGAGTGACGGGTATATTTACAAACTGAACAGGTTTAAAGGCTTAAAAAGCCCGTAGTTGCACTCTAAAGAACTGCCATCCCCCCCCCCCCCCCTTCCTTATATTTTTGGCTGGAACAGACCAAAGGTTTTTCTACATTTTGTAAGTGTCCTTTTTATATGCCCTATGAATCCTGAATTGTACCACCTATACTTTTCTGTCCAGTGACTGTGATCACTGTTTCACTACATACTTCTCAACAATTTCCTTGTACCTGGTGACAGGCATTCATTTAACTAGAACAGAAATACCATATCAAGTCTTCCGAAAATAGAACAAGACAGCTTTTTACAATCACATGTATTTAATGGACACCAGTCATATTAAGATGGCAGTCTTATTCCTTTTTGGATGGTCTTGGGTTGTGCTTTTCATTCACTTGGGCAGCAATTCTGTCCAAATCTTTCCTGCCTTGAGGGGTCAATTTCCTGCCACCTGTTGCAGTGTCTTTCTCCACTAGTTTCATTCCCTCTAGAGACTGCAGAACCTTGCGGTTAATTGATGTATTTCCTTTGCAGAAATGGCTAGGTGCTGTTCCGTTCCTCTTGCGCCCTATTTAAAAATTTTAAATATCAATTTATGAAATTTTTTTTAACATATAAAATGACTGTTCATTCATTCAATCTAACCAAATAAATTGCATTCTTTATTCATTTTGTTACTTGCCACTAAATGTGACCAAGTTGTGATGTGCTGTGTTCCTGAACATACTATTTATGTGATTGTAGATTTTTGTGGACAAAGACTTGCTGTTAAATACATATAAAATACATGCTTACTGTCTTGAAATATAAGCGATATTTGGGCGAGGGTAAGAAAACGTGATGGAGGGCGAGGCTTGCCGAGCCCTCTATCACGTTTTCGACCCGAGCCCAAATATCGCTTATATTTCAAGACAGTATTGATGTATTTTGTTTATCCTGCAACATATTTTTACATGACCTTCAAAACGAGCTATTTTCAATCGATTTAGGTACATCTCTGCATTTGAATCTAAGACGCCATGGCGTAAACATTGCAATATTCATGATGTCACAATGCTTTTAGAACGTCGGAATACATGCACGAGGCTTTCTTAGGGCATTGACCGAATAAAGCTTTGGTTTATTAGGTTACCTTTATTAGGTCAATGCAAGGGGTAGTTGCAGGATAAAATTTATTATATCATATATTGTAGTTGACTCATTATTTTACTGAGCACATCCATCAAAGACAAATGCATGTCCCCAAAGAGTAGGGTCAATGCCGGCTGGTTAGAGTGTAGCAGTGGCTACGAATGTGATCATTCTGGCTATTTACTGATTGCTTCAAAAACTTTTAATTCAACCTCATTTGTAATGCTATCAACTATCCATGCACATTTAAACTTTTCCTCTAAGATTCTACCTCCATTAGCTGACATTAAATATCATGTGTACCAAGGAAGTAGTGCTACAAGAGAGTCAGCCAGTAACTTGATCTGAGTGTCTGTGTGAGACTTATTGAGTTACTGTATCAATTCAAACAGTATACAAAAACTGAATTCTACATATTTTACCGGTACATCAATTTTAAGTATTTTAACAGTTTACAAATTTATATCAACATAATATCTGTATAACTTTCCTGGTCCTACATAAACATAGTATCTGTGTTCATTGTAGGTATAATTTATGCAACCTTATTTTCAACATTCACTGTGACCATTTTCACAAGAAATTGATAGGTACTATTTTCTTTTATTGATGCATAGATGGACACCTTTGGATGCCGATGATCCCTAAAAGGCTTTTAAGCTCCACTCAACATTATGAAAATATAAGAAAAATAAGTTCATTTTTCTGACAATAAAAAATTGAAAGTGGTTCTTCTCATACCTGAATAAAGTTTGGAAAATGCTCCAACACCAACTGGTGATCTGATGTACAAATGGCGACATACAGAAGCTACAAAGAAAAAAAATATGGAGTAGTCAATACACTGACTTGTAGAGAAAGTAGAGAATCTGACTGAAAAATTGTATTGCCATATATCGCAACATTAAATGTTCTGTTTCAATATACATTTATCTTCATATTAAATTCATATTCTTTTTTGCTTTTTCGTCTCTTATTTTTTGAAATATGTAAACACAATGCAAATATTTATTCTTGTCTTCTCGAGTTGGTATCAACATTGCCTGGCTGCATGTGGCTAGCTGAGTTTGTTGTGCCATAATAACATTTAATAATGTTGTTGCAGTAGTCACATTCAGCTTTAACTTGAAGTGATTTCATGTAGCAACTTTTCTCTTTTCATTCCTAATCAATTCCTAATGTTTGCCACCATATTTTACTTCAACAAAAGCAAGTAACACTTTTTGTAACATTTTACATAATAACCAACCAAATTGAAGGAGTGGTGTTTTAAAAGAGTTTCAGAGAATTTTCTATTTTTAGTAATCATGGCAAACTTTTGTCAGAGTAGCATTTTAAATGAATTTCACAGAAAATTCTTTGATTCAGTTTTTCATTTTGATGAATAGTGTTCCTATATTTTGTAATCATGGCTACACCAATTAACGAAATCAAAAACCAATAAACAGAATTATGTATCTAAGTAAAGTGTACTTGTGTACAAAGTCTTATTGAAATCGGACCTAAACTGTAGGAGGAGTTTAAAAGATTTTCACAGAAATTCCTATTTTAGTTACCATGGTAACACTTTTTTGAAATCAAAAACTGATTAACAGAATTATGTATCTTAGTATAGTGTATTTGTGTACCATATCTTATTGAAAATGGACCAAAACTGTAAGTTCTCAATTGTCTATAACTGGGGCCATTCAAAAAGGTATCTTTTTTTCCCAATTGAATGTGTTAATTTTCCCAATCGTCATTTCTCCCCAAAATTAAATATAGTGGGATCCATAATAAATAAACCTGCTATTCCTATTCCTCTGTATCAATAAACAAAACTCTAGTTGATAATAAAAACCAGAATCTCAATATACCATGATTGTAAAGTATAATTGTTATCCCAAAATTTCCCAATCTTTATGGCCCCGGCCCCATTCCCTAAAAGTTGTCTGAGAGCCCTGGGAGTAGTGTTCTGAAAGAACCATGGCATCTCTGTTGATTGAATTCAAAAACTGATATACTTTTAGTTATCCAGTTTCAGTCAAGGATGTAAGGGGATTTACCCTGGGTTGTACTCCATACACCCTCAGGCCAAAGGTGGTATGGAATGCAGCCTGGGGTAAATCCCTGTACACTCTTCTTTGGACCTTGATAACAAATTTATTTCCTATGTAACCAAATAAATCTTTGTAAATCAATGGTGTGTTTCAAACTACCCATAAGATTTACTACATGCTACAATGCATCGTGACATCACATTATTTGCTTTTTGTGATAGAGAAACTATGCATTGTGATGTCACTTTATTTATCCCCTTCTGAAGCTGGGTGTGCGGAAATTTTCACCTTTCCCTAACCAATCATATCTCATGTTACAAGCTAGATAGAAAATAATTATGTATATTAGTTTAATGTACTTGTGTACCAAGTCTTATTTAAATCAAACCAAATTGTAGGAGTAGCATTTTTGAAAAATTGTTTACAGACAGACAGATAGACACACAAATGACACCTTACTATCACATGAGTTCTTCTGGTCTCTGACCAGTAGAGCTAAAAAACTACTTACATATCTACCCATCTTGAAAAATATGGGTTGGGTTCCAGTACATCAATTTTTTTTTTTTCAGTGATGGCCTCACATTAAATGTGCATATCACACTTTATAGTGAAAAGACTGCACTAAAATTTTTCTGAGCCAAATTTGCTCTGAGCTTACAGTTATATTAGCTCTTCCGAGTTTTCTGTCACCTTTAATAGACTTACCAGCCCGTACATAGTACCAGTCATCATCATATGGAGCCAGTTCATTAAACTTTGCAAGTTTTACGATGCCAACCCAGTCTGGTATCTTCATTTTACCTTGCCTACAAAGGGAATTATATTTTTTCTTAAATATTTCCATTTCTATTTGTTTTCTCTGTGATAACTCTTTGAAAGTTAGTTGTCTTGATTTCTTCATCATTTACTGGAATTTTTTTTGTCAAGCAATAGGCCAGGAGCTAAGGAGGCCTAATATGCATGTAAATCTCGTACGACTGTCTTTGTGTTTGACGTCACGGGGGGGGGGGGGGGGGGGACTATTAAATTGACACGGGAGACCTCGTGTAATTTAAATCTATTAGTCTACATTTTTAAAATCTAAATTTACAATTTTACAATTGCAATGGGAATATAAGGATTCGCCCATTATGCAAATTATTCCACGTTTCCAACTATCGTTGATGCCCTGGCATACTCTACTGAGTAGACAGTGATTCCTTAAATATATCTAATAACCTAGGAGATTGTAAATTATACTCTACTTTCCAGGAACCATTTTAAAAGTAGACCCAAAAGAATATGAGCGAACAAGGCCAGCAAAATGCCTACTGTGCCACAAATAAAAAAGGGAAAAAATTAAATCTCAATTATAAAAAAATTTTCTTTGATATTTCATTTAACATTAATGTTTACTTTATATTAAATCTCCACAATTAGCAACAATCTCACAAAGATTGAAATTATTTGTCTATGAATAGCATACATACACCAAAGAGGGCAAAAATGATCAATTCTTCAAACTAATTAAAAACACTATTTTTCCATATGAGTGGGTCTTTGCTCCATTTTTCAAAAGGCTATACTCAAAGTATGCATAAAAATATACATTCTTCAGTTAACAAAAACATGGAGGTAGGACCCACTATACCTTAAAAATACACTTTTATGACAAAACATTCTTATCTCTCCAAGAATTATTTGAAGTTCATTTAGTCAAGGGTCATATCACAAACATGACTTAAATATCACTTTTTGTTATAAGCGGTATAGTAAGTGGTTAGCGTGTTAGTCTTGAAGGGAAAATTGATATTCAAAATTTTTATTGCTTGGGTTTGAACCCCAAGAATACCACATATTTTTTTTTTTAATTCATAGAATGTTTTTTGCCAAATAATTTTCTGCAGAAAACTTTTGTTTGTCATAATTTCATACCTTTCAATGATAAGAACTTTACTCTAAATTCATAAATTAATTATGACCATACATTTGAAAATATAGGCACTTTGCACACCTTGTTCACCCATCTCCTTTCAAGGAACCTCCATTCTCTCTCAAAGCAAATCAGGTAGAGGTTTTTGAAAGCAGGGAGACTTGATATTACCACAATTTATTACTTTAAACCCCCCCTCCCCCCTTTAAACTACTTTTAAAAACCCTTTTTATACTAAATAAAATTTGCAACAAAATTACAATTTAATTCTAACTAGTGGAGCATCCAGAGCAAATATCAAACATGATTTTGATTATTATTTAGTTTTATTAAATTCATGGTTGAGTTAAGGGGAAAATACAATGTTTTTTTCCTTTAAATATACCACATATATTTTATAAAACTAAGCTCTTATGCTGATGCCAATAGTATGAGGAACATGACACTCACTTCTAATACACTCCCTTCTAATATGTTAGAATCTTCCAGAAAATTTAGGGTTGTACAAACCAGATCAATGGTAGATCAGTTTATTTGTTATACATGAGTTTTGATTGACACTGCGTGGGTGTATTAAGGAAACAGATTTTCTGACTAGACAAAATCTGTGATACAATATGACATCAAAGTAAGCTAAATGAAATCAACTGATGTGAACTAATGTTTTTTTTTCAATATTTGTATCTAAAGATTTAACTGAACATCTGAAATTGGATTGAAACATGCAAATACTTAAAAAAAGAAAATCCTGTATTTGTTTGTTTACGTTACATCTGTCCCCCGAATTAAATATTACGACCGAAAACGCCATAACTGTTCATCTAATATTTGAAGAATGAACATGCAGTGTAACGAGAATTTCGTCAAGATGACATTTAAACAGATACCTAAAACAGGGGTTAAGAAGCAAATACAAATGTACCATGAATGTTGTGTGTGATTGTATGGAATAAAAGTTTGTGAACAACGTATGCAATTTTATACATTTTAAGACTTTAGATGGGATACAAAACTTCCGGTTGGGTTATAAATGTAGGATGAAACCAGAGACCTCAGAATGGAATACTCGGAAGTCAATACATTATTGCAGCAAAATGTCAAAATATTTCTATATAAATATTTTTTTTTTTTAATTGAAATTTACCTTTATCTTGCATCTTTTAAAATTAATAACTTCATGGCCAAGTTCTGGTATTGTACTCACTTTTTCAGGAAAGCAGCAAGTGACTTTGTGAATTCATGTGAATTGACATCCTTCACTGAGATACCCATCCTACAAAGATGTACATGTTATAGTTTCTGTTGGGTTAGGATGATTCATGATTTTCTTCAATCTATTTAACAGCAGTAACTTAACAAGAACTCCATGGGCACAACGCTCACCAGAGTCACCTTGGTCCTGCTATTCTTCAGTAGAACATTTTTAAAAGATTTTTTCTCTCTTTATTCTCATGAAAAATTTATGCTGCAACTAATTACGCATGTGTCTTTGTAGTTAGAATAATCTAACTGTGTCTCGGGACAAGCCCTCACCACAGTTAAATAAACCGGGTCCGTAGGACAATATCATTTTAACGATGGAACGTTCTATCTAGAGTCTTTGGAATTCAAAGAAAATCATTTTTAAAGTTGCAAGAGTTTGTCAAGAAAGGGTCATTCATAATGGGGTCAACCTATGACACACATCAATCAATCTCATTAAATTTTTTTTTTATTTTACTTTGACCTTATGGTCAAATCATGTATATAGATTAATGTATACACTACGCAGTAACAACTAAAGTGGTTGTGAAGTCTGTACATATTTCATCCTGTGGAATATATCATTCGAATACTTCTTAAGACGTTTCTTTCACCCATTTTATTTATTTTGTTGGTAGGATTGTTTTCATTTACTGCATATTTTTTCCAACTGACTGTGCTTATTAACACACTCTACATGCTCTATTCTATTTTGTTACAAAAAAACAAAACAAAAATATGTAAATTAAAACAGGAAAATACACACATTACAGCATTATATTTGTAAGAGATATGTTTAAATCATAATAAAAACTGCACATAAAATCACATTATTGTGATTATTTTGGAGAACATCATACATCCCAATACGAAATTTTTGGCGATACCCATCCCTGGGCTAGTTTTTTTTTTTACCCTCAATATCTCAAATCCAGGGATATCGTTAAGTTATTTCTAAATCCCATCTACAGGAGCTTTATGTGTTTGTAAGGTATCATATGTATTGATACTTTTAATGACCCGGAAACTGTGATAAATTGTTTTTTCTTCAACTCGCATGTAATTCCTACGAATTCATGAAATTATTCTTACTTTTAGATAGTCTATATGAATATATTTTACGCAGTTATTACTGTCAGAAAATAGCGATGTTTCCATACAAAAGTGTATTCCAATAAATTGACTGTAGTGTATTTATTTATCAAATACTTTCTTATTCAATATTTTCCCATGCTTACTTTGCTAGGGATATCGAAAAAGAGGCTCAGTCAAGGCCACGTGGGACTGTTATGCTGAAATCTCGACCCCGATGTATATTTGCAAGATGATTATACATGCAGGCCTACAGTTTTCTACGTCCCATTATATACATCTATACTTATAAATTAATACATTTTGCAAATAAACTCCGAAACGGATGCACCAGAGTTTTCACCTACTCCTCTAAGAATACACTAGATACAAGATGATGTCCGTAAACTATATTTAGATTTAACTCGCATTGTAAGCATGATTATAGCTGCAGGAACATAAAAAAAAGCTTATGCGTGAATGGTCATTGAAATAATGGTAAATCATTGATAACACTATAAGTTGTGAATATATTTATATATCGAAAGACTATTACATACATGTAGTAGGTTTTCCTAATAAATTTATCGGTAAAATGTGTAATATATTCCTCACTGGCATCGTGGCAACGAACCCGAAGTACAATTTCTACTTCGTAATAAAATTGCTTACATGAAAAGAGAAAATTAATGTATAAGATATTGCTCAAATACAATTAAAGCTGTAAAATTTTGTGCTTTAATCAATACATTTCAGTTTTTTTTTCTGAATACAGTCTTTTGTATCAAATACTCGGCCTATTGGCGTTAAAACCTAATTTTTACACAGGTACTTGCGTCTTGGTTTATAAATACATATGTACCTTATTGATATGTAAAGAAGGTAAAGTACATTTTAACATATCAATAAGGTACATACATATTTATAAACCAAGACCCAAGTACCTGTGAATTTTTAACCCCCCCCCCCCAAAAAAAAAAAACCCAATCAATTTATCAATAAAATATGCATATTCGCTGCTTTTATCCTTGACGAAAATAAAATAAGAGCATCTGAAGTACAATATCCATAACATAGTATAACAGGTTTCACAATAATCATCAATTAATTAAATAATGTTATCTTTTTCAAGTTTTTACAAAAGGGGGTGGGGGTGGAGACGCACATGTGGGATTTTGAACAAAGTATTTCTTCCTGCTATAAGCCTGTAGGCTGTCAGTAAAAACTACAATATATTTTCTGTCGGTAGTGTATAAATTCAATTACCCGCGCTTGCGCGGGATTTCATCTAGTATGCTTATAAATGTGTATTCTTACAGCAATTAGGTCAAATCGTGGCACATATGGATTTTAGAAGTTTGTTTTGCGTGTGTACTATGGGGAGATTTGAAATTTTAAGCAATAAAAAAAGTATATATATATATATAAAGTGGGGCAGAATATTTTTTTAATTAATGTTTTACTGAGGTTATTGTTTTCGAATTCATGGTACGGATTAGATCACAAATATTTCATTAAAAGATTATTCATTGGAAAAACGTCGCCGAAAAAGGCCCGGGGGTCTATATGGGAAAGGGGGGGATCTGTCCTGTCCTCATACACCTGTAATTTGATTCACAAATATTAATATATTACCAAAAAGAACGGACACATTGAGTAGTAGTCACTCAGTCTCTCATAAAATATAAAACATATCATGCAAAATAATTTATTTTAAAAAACCATTTTTTTAACAGCGACAAAAATGCCGTTATTTATCTCTAATAGCATGGCCATAGGACCCGTGGGGGGGGGGGGGGAGGGGGCACCACCACCCCCATAATTTCGTCGATATATAGAATACTTTAGAAAACATAGCTACTATATTCTTACAAATATATCTCTTATTAGGCAGGTATTTCAATCTGAAGAGTATACGACAATATTGCCTTTGGTAAGACGACTTTTCTTCGTTTGGAGCTTCATGATATTTTTTTAAAATCATATTTCGGTTGTATACACTCAAATCAATCTATTTATTTTAAACATTGACAAAAATCAACCGTAGAAATTCGTACCATACAGGGTGGAATTATTGACAAAATTGACATCCCTACTTTTGATCATGAAAGTTGGTCACGGTCAAATTATGTAAACTTTTAAGATATATGTGTATACTATACATGTGCGGATCTAGAGGGGGGTCAGGGGGTCCAACCCCCCACCCCCCTGGAATTTGCAGAGTTATTAAAAGTATATACTGAAGCAAATAATAAATGAGTTTGGACCCCCCTAGAAAACTTGATCCCACCATCACCACCATGAAATAGGTGTTTTTCACGTTTGGGAAATGGATTTTTTTTTTTTTTTTTTTTTTTTTTTTTTTTGTTGCTTGTCAAGAAATTTTTGGGTTGGAAATTTTTTTGACTGGTGTGCCCCCCCCCCCCCCCTGGAAAAAAATTCCTGGATCCGCGCGTATATATCTATCAACTTACCTTACTTCCGACATACCCCCTTCTCGATGCAATAAAGATGTAGAAGACAAATGTATTTCTGTAAACTTTAAACCAGATCTCGGATCTACCCAAAAATAGTACTGTTGTCAAGGCTTTATAGAAACATTCTGCACAACTTTTGATCGTCTTGTTCCATTCCATGTACCTAGAAATTATAACCTTAATTAAACGACAAAAATATCAATTTCACAGCGGTTAAAATTTCTGAAAATAAACCGAAAGAAATTCTTCGGATGTCATTAAATACATTTATTTCCTTTTTTGCTGTCAGGATTTCTTTTTTTCCATGTGGAATCTATTTTATATAGAATTAATAAATCATTGAAAAATAGCGATATTCGGTATTGAATAGCAGTTCATGTTTTCACTGTCCTGTTTGCACTCAACCAATTAGCTCATTAAACAAGTATAAAAAAAAAAAAAACGGGGGGGGGGGTCCTAAGAAAATCAACTATTTTTACCATTCGGTCTCCTAAAATTAATATTAAAACTATTGTGAGCGCTGATCTCACAACATGATACCTTCGCCCTAATAACATTGAGTATTATGGCGAAGTGCATTTCTTTGCAGGAAGTAAATGAAATTCTTTGAAAGTTCCATTGAATTTCATTCCGGGGTTTAGGAGCAGTTGTGTTAACAAAATGTATATCCCCATTTATCGAATACAATGGCAAAGTCCATGATTTGCTATAGGAAACCCCAAATGTAGGAGGTGCACAATGACACTGTGTTATAAGGATTCTAGGAAAGTCTCATTACATTTTATTCTGTGGTATAGCAGGAGTTGTAGGTAAGATAAGAGATGGGTACTCTAAACTGCTAAATGTTAAATAAAGAATGGCAAAGTCTATGTAACGGAGACCCAAATATCTTTCAGATGGTAACGTAGAATAGGTGCAAAATGGCAGAATGTAACTAGAGGTGCTGTGAGCACCGAGCTCACAAAATGATACCCATTCCCCTCCCCGCTCCCACATTAGTATAATGGCAAAGGCCATGTTTTGCTCTTATCTCATAACGATTCAAGGGAATTTCATAAATTTCATGCAGTGGTATAGGAGGAGTTGCGGATACGAGATAAGTACCCCAAATGTTATAGAAAGAATGGCAGTGTCCATGTTTTGCCATGGGAAACCCCCATTATCTTTTCACGTAAGTGCAAAACGTAATCTTGATCAAAACGGAAGTGCACAATGGCACTAATCTTTGAAAGTCTCATTAAATTTTATTCAGCGGTATAGGAGGAGTTTCAGATAAGAGATGGGCACCGAAACAAGAGGCCCAAGGGCCTTAACGGTCCCCTGAGTATAATACAACATTGTATTCCATAAAAATACAAAACTGGAGATACTGTGAGCAAGCTAAAAAATAATTCCGCTGCAAATTTTTTAAAGTGCCTATTCAAATTTTGTAAATATGACCTTGAACTTGCCAAAAAATGACAAATCCTCTTGTCGTAAGTGATCTTTTAGT